CATTGGTGTTATGTGGCTTAATACCGCACTGAGGAAACTTTATAGAACCGACAATACAATAAAAATGTTAGGTTTTAAGGTTTTCACGAGATTTTTCTTGTATAACTGACTCAAAAAATTACACTTTTTGTTCATAATGTAAATGAAAAATCTAAGTCATAATTTTCCTATTCAAACATTTTTTAAAGTTGCCCCTAAACGGAGGGAAAACTGGGCATTTTAAAAAATACATAAAACATAGATAAAAACAGTACTAAATTTTTTATAAGAATAATTTAAAAAAATGTTAGATTCAGATTTTCAAAACAATATATTATTTCGTCCCTAAAGTCGAGGAGTAACTTTAAAATTTAAAATTGTTTGTAAAACAAAACATTTACTTTAACATAAAAATAAAATTAATTCAACATGAATAAATTTTATTGATTAAGAAGTTTTCAGAGTGTAGGTACCTACGTGGAAATAGGTTGATGACTCTTTATGTCTAGCGTTAGTATTTCCTTCGAGAAAACGAAATCCTTGCTGTATCAAATAAATCGAATAAAGCTATTAAAGTAATGGAAGAGAGGAAGAGTAATTACTGCTGGCTTCTTTTCGAAATCATATTACAACTGAAACTAATCACAAAATCATGTTTTGGAATAGGATTTAGTAAAAAGTAATTAATTACGTAGTTTTCCGGTTCCAGTCTAGAATGCTGTAGGCGCTCTATCCCGACTCTAATCTTAAATGTTCTTGAATTATTTGCTTATTAATAATAGGTCTTAACGACATCTAAGATAAAATAAAGTAATGCTTTAAATAAATGAACTTAAAAAAAAATATCATTAAAGATATACGAAAAGTGTAAAAAGATCAATGAACCACTAAATAATATGTCCATATCCAACAAAACATTAAATTTGTAGTAAGTAATGTAACGTTTGTGTATTTAGCAGTTTTTTTATTTATATTACAAGGCTAATTTATTTTATAACTTAACTAATTTATATCACATTTGCTTATATACTAATTTATATTAATGATGTTAATCTGTATAAACGAAGATCTAGCTTAAAACTGACTATAACGTGGACCCATTTATGTACACATGTACTTATCGTTCCTTGAATTTTTCGGTCGCTCACCAGAACTTGCTACAACAAAGATGCCTTCTACATTTATTGGACTGATGAGTTGTTTCTGAATACTTCGTTATCATTCTAGAATATTCTAGATCAGTGTTGTGTCCATCAAATTTTGGAACTGACCATAGTCGACCCATAAGGAGGGGTTTCGGAGGTTTACTAATTTTATCGATTATTATTGGTAATCGAAAAAGTGGAAGATCAGAGAAAAAGTTAAAATATTGAACCTAATAATAATAAAAAATACCAATGTTAAACTAAAAATAATTAAACAATGGAATAAACAAAAAATAAAACCTACTGAAGGAGGCCGTCCTATCAGAAGCCAGAAGCTATGATAATATAAAAATTGAAAAACCTTTTAATGTACAATTTTGATAAACCTTGTTCAAAATAAACTACCAAAATAAATCTGAATAATCAATTTTTCCGAGGTCTAAGTCGAAATGGTCCATTTTTTCGAGTAATAAGTTAGGAAATCTATTATTCAGGGGTTCTAAGTAAGAATAAACAATTTTTCCGAGTTCTAAAGCGGAATAGTCCATTTTTCGAATTCTAAGTCAGAAAAATCTATTATTCATGTGTTTTAAGTGGGAATAAACAATTTTTCCAAGTTTTAAATCTAAATAGGCAATTTTTCGAGTTCCAAGTAAAAAAAAACAATTTTTCCGAATTCTAAGACGGAATATTTAATTTTTAAAGTTCTACGTCAAAAAAAAATCAATTTTTCCGAGTTCTAAATCGGAACAATCAATTATTTCGAGTTCTAAATCAGAAAAATCTATTATTCAGGGGTTCTAAGTCAGAATAAACATTTCATACGAGTTCTAAGTCAAGAAAATAAATTTTTCCGAGTTTTAAATCGGAATAATCAATTTTTCCGTGTTCTAAGTCAAAATGGTCAATTTTTTCAAGTACTAAGTCAAAAAAATCTATTATTCAGGGGGTCTAAGTAAGAATAAACAATTCTTCCGAGTTCTAAGTCGGAATAGTTTATTTTTTGAGTTTTAAGTCAAAAAATCTATTAGGGGTTCTAAGTCGGAATAATCAATATTTTCGAGTTCTGAGTTGGAATAGTCCATTTTTCGAGTTCTATGTATTATTTTCTGGAAACTAAAGTAAAAGGGCAATTTTATGGGATTTTCTACATTGAGTCTTAAATTTTAATATTTTTGGACTTATTTAATTTGCATGTTAAGGCCGACGAATAGTCCATTTTTCGAGTTCTAAGTCAAAAAATCAATTTTTCCGAGTTCTGAGTCGGAATAGCTCATTTTTTCGAGTTCTTAAACAGAAAAATCTATTATTCATGGGTTTTAAATCGGAATAATCAATTTTTCACATTTTTAAGTCGGACTAGTCCATTTTTTTGAGTTCTAAATCAGAAAAATCTATTATTCATGGGTTCTAAGTCAAAATAAATAATTTTTCCAAGTTTTAAGTCAGAATATACCATTTTTCGAGTTCCAAGTAAAAAAAAAACAATTTTTCTGAGTTCCAAGACGGAATATTCAATTTTTTAAAGTTCTACGTAAAAAATATCAATTTTTCCGAGTTCTAAGTCGGAATAATCAATTATTTCGAGTTCTAAATCAGAAAAATCTATTATTCTGGGGTTCTAAGTCAGAATAAATATTTCTTACGAGTTCTAAGTCAAGAAAATAAATTTTTCAGAGTTTTAAATCGGAATAATCAATTTTTCCGAGTTCTAAGTTGAAATGGTCCATTTTTTCGAGTACTAAGTAAGAAAAATCTATTATTCAGGGGTTCTAAGTCGGAATAATCAATTTTTCCGAGTGGTGAGTCGGATTAGTTCATTTTGTCGAGTTCTAAATCGGAAAAATCAATTTGTCCGAGTTCTAAGTCGAAATGATCCATGTTTTCGAGTACTAAGTCAGAATAAACAATTTTTCCGAGTTTTAAGTCGGAATAGTCCATTTTTTTGAATTATATGTCAGAAAAATCTATTATTCAGGGGGTTCTAAGTCAGAATAAACATTTTTCCCGAGTTTAAGTCGGAATAGTAAAAAACCGCGTTGTAACGTTGTCCCGGCCGTATAAACGGGCAACGCTGATATTATTCATTTCCTGTTCGCACGAATGTTAATTATCTGAAATTTTCACATGCACATGTGTAAAGCGTTTTGAAAGCGTCCGATAGCCGATACTATGTATCTATATTGGAGGAAGCTTGTGGGAGGAACGTATCCACCGCAAATAAGAAACTGATCGTTTGCGGTCTGGCAGATTCGCAGCTGCTGACCTATATCTGGCAAAAATATGTCTTGAATTTGAAATAAATCACAAAATATGAAATAAATTAACATCTTCAAATTATTATCTTTAATGAAAGAAAGTGAAGTGGGAAAAATCGGTTGAGATCCGAAAAACTGAAATACAATTTTGGAAATATGAAAATGAATAATCCCCAATTCCCTCTATTAAATTATGAAAAATACTTCCACATATCCCCAAAATAAAAACAAACTAAAGAAAAATTGAAAAAGCTGAGAACTCCGAGCAATTACTGCTCGGAGACTGAGAAGACGTCAATCTAACCAATCTGATGATTTCTAAAATTGGTTCATAATTTTGGTAATTAAAATTCGTTAATACTTTGGATATGTTATGTGTCAATTTAAACTTTTGTCAATCGTGTAGACATTTTTAAAAAGTGTTCATTGTATTAGTTATATACTTGTTTATTGCTAAATAAAGTAGCGAAAATACTGTTGTATTTATTTCTAAATAAGTCTAGCATGTTTTATTTGGAAAAACTACCAAAATAAAACGATTTATAAAATCACGAGCCCGCAGGACGAGTGATTTTATCTTAAATCGGTTTGTTTGAGTGGTTTTGCCTGAAATAAACCCAAAATTTATTAGATAAAATTTAAAATGACGAGGGGTATTTGAAAAGATTATTTTTTGAATCAATTTGTACGAAAAACATATTTGGAAGTGTTTATTAAACTTATAAATGGTAGATATCTATTTTATATCCATGAAATGGCAGAGTGTTGAAAATATTTTGAGTGTTGGAAATATTTTTTATCTCTGCTATTTTCTTTCGACGTTATTTAATAATCATTGGTTACTTATGAACCTCTACTAAAGATACCCATAAAATATTTTTCTGAATATCCGAATATCTTCTATATCCTGGGATATAGACGGACATTTGGTTGGATATCCATATTGGATATATTGAATATCCACAAAATATATTCTGTGGATATCTCTGTGATTTCTTGTATTTTCTGGAAGATACCCATTAGATATTTTGCTGAATATCCATTAGGATATCTTCTATATCCTGGATATAGACAAACATTTGGATATCCATATTAGATCCACGGAATATTTCTGATATCCTGTGGATATATTGGATATCCACAAAAGATATTCTGCGGATATCTCTGGGATTTGGTGTGTTGTCTGGTATATGATTTATAGGGTATACATACTTTTATTTAACAATAATACTTTATGGCTACTTTAAAAAAAATACAAACTGCTTGTCTTTGCAAGACAGTAGCTATTCGTTAAAATGAAAGAAATCCTAGATTTACATAGCAAATAAGAAATCGAATATTCTTTTTTTCTGCATCCTTTTCTAATGAGAGTACGCCACTGGTAGACCGGAAGCACTTCTTCGCCATATTCATCTGTCAAAATAAGGAACCATGGCGTGCCATCGCTTTTAGCTCTGAAAAAATTGCTGAATAAACAAACAGTGAAGTATAACTATTTGAAAGTTGACATGAGACATTAATAATTTTAGTAAAAAGAAGAAGAAGGTAACCAAAAAACAATGGTTAATTTTATAAAAAATTAAAAATGAGCCAAATAACAACAATTCCGGTATTAAAACTTTACAAAGAACTATTACGTTACGGAGAGCAATTGAAATTGACCGATAAAAATTTCTTTCGTCGACGCATAAAGCAAGAATTCAAAAACAATAAAGGACTTGAAATTGAAACCGATCATATCTACAAGGTAAATATCTGTTGCATTCAATTTTATCAGTAATCAAAACAGTCAGCATTAATATTTGGTTTTTAGAAAGGTGTAACATTGTTGTTAAACAGATCTGTAAAATAATGGCCACATCTAGAATGATATTTCGCGTTCAATTCTGTTTTTCAAGACTGACACACACATTAGACTACTCGAAAATACCTGTTCTCTTAGATAAAGATTTGGAAGAAATGCATGTTCGAGGTAGTGGTCCTGGGGGTCAAAAAATTAATAAAACGGCCAGTTGTGTCGTTTTGAAACATATCCCCTCAGGTAGGTACTTGTTACACTAAAGTCTTAATGTGTTATTTAACCTACATATTATAACAAATCCTCCCCACAATCCTTCCAATAATATTGTATTTCCAAACCAATGTTATTTCTATATCAAACAAAGTGTTCACAAATTATTTCACAACTTTAGCAAAAAATAACAGAATATTAATATCCTAGAATCCCTATTCCTTCAAAAACCTTACCAATTAATAATATTCAATTTATATGACCTAAAAAAAAACCATATGGAAATGTCTACAGGAAATTTATTATGAAGACACAGGATGACCCAAAATCACAAGGTGAGGGAAAAACAAAAAGACTGGACCTCTATTATAAAGAGACTAAACTGTTTTTATCTCTAATTATTTGAAAATATTCAAATAGTATTAATTTTTTTTCTATTAATTATTTTTTTGTTTATGTAAATATTATTGAACACATCAGTAGGCTGACATACTTTAGTTGATGGCTTGTTGGGTATAGTAACTCAATAAAGTATATTTATTATTAGTTATTGAGTGGCTCAGTGCCAGAGTTGCCTAACCAACAAAATATCAAAACAATCTGTTTTTGTACATTATTTTAAAATAATTTCTGTGTATACCAAAGTTGTCTACTACTTATTCATTTTTGGTGCCACAATCTACACCTAAAAATTAGGCAGTTTCGTCTTACAAATATGGGTAAAGGATTTGATATCCATTTACTCACTTTTAATAATTTTAAAATAACCAGTCTTCCTATATTATTGTTAAAAAATAATTTATCTGCATGCCAAAGTTAAAATTATTCGTTTTCGGTGCCAATATCTATATCTAAAGATTAGGCAGCTACATGGTAGTAGACAGATAAATTGCTTTGATCACCATTTACTCATGTTTAATAAATTGGTGATTAGGCAACTCTGACTCTGGCACTGAACCATAATGTAAATAAAAGTTAATTATTAAATGTATTTTTCTTTTAGGTATCGTAGTTAAATGTCAAGAAACAAGATTTTTGGAAAAGAATCGAAAAATAGCAAGAGAAATTCTGCAAAGAAAATTAGATAATTTTGTTAATAAAGAAGAGAGTTTAGAGGCTCAACTTGAAGCAAAAAATGAAAAAAAAAAGTGTATCTAGACAACAAAAAAGACAAAAAGTTCAAGTGTTGAAAGAAGCATGGAAAAAACGTGAATTTGATAGTAATCAATTGTAAAAAATTGTTAATAAATTTAATAATCATTGTTAAATTGTTTTTTATATTATTAATTACCAAGGATATAACATACAAAACTTGTATTGTTAAAATCTAAAAATAGAGTCTACTTTGTCATTAGGAATGGAACATTCCAATTTTAACAATTATTTCTTTATAATTTTGCCCTGCTACACTTTTATAACAAATCTTGTAGGGCTAAAGATCAATCGACATGAAAATATGTAGACATTTTTAATTATTCTTTTATAATAATTTAAATAACACTTTACAAAAAAAAACTACACCTCTAATCCATTATTTTACATCACTGCAATATTCATCCAGAGAAGTTGTATTTTGAATCGGCATTGAACGATCCCTAAAAATAAAATATAAACAAAATAAATAGAAAAATTGGGAAGAGTAGTGGTTGTTTATGATAGTAATAATGATTTTCTTTACCAATATTACTGCTGTCAAAATCCTGGATCGACTTTATTTACTCTAAAAACTGGTGGGAAAGAAACAAGAGCACTGAAAACAAATCTTTTTAATGAAGGAAAATGAGAAAAATTCAAAGAAACTTCAAGCGACCGTTTGCTTTCTGAAAACAACTACTCCATTGACTAATACTAAAACAGGCATTTTCTTCTTAATTTTTAAATGAACCTATAGAATTGAGCTTCGTTTCCTTTGATAACTGCCAGTCTGGTTAATATTCTGCCTTGTTCAATGAACTGGCAGCCTCAGTGAGATTTGGTTTTGCTTACTAAGTGTAGATGGTGATACTGTGCGACTAAACCAATATCTAGGTATATGAATGGATATCGCACCTATAAAACTTACATTAAATTAGATATTTGAAGAATGTTTTTTCTGCTAATGAGTCTTAATAAGGACGAAACTACTCCAAGAATGACCTTATTAAACAAAATTAAAGGTAGATTTTTGAAAATAATTTTTTCTGTTGTTTTTCTTTGGATATAATTCAATGCTTGTTATAGGTTGTGGGAATTATCCAAAGTAGTTGTTTTCTAGAGGAAAACGGTCGCTCGACGTTTCTGTATATTAGTCTTTACGTTTTTCTCATTTTCTCTGGATTGATGTGCTTTTAACATTACTTACTTCCACAGTAAGTGAAGTTGTTCTTTGATTTATTAGAAGTACTAAGCGCATTAGGAATTTGTCCCTAAAATAAAAAGATAATCTCATGTAGAGTGAAGTTCAAATTCGGTAAGAAACATTAGTTTATTGTCATTCGGATATTGCAAACTATAAATCGGTAACAAGTTGTTAAAATACTGTCATGAAATTCCTAATCCAACCCTGTGTACGCGCGACCTTGGAAGTCTGCCACTCGGTTCATGATCGAAGCAACGCTGACGTGTGAAAACAGTCGAACCGCGTCTCGAATATACAAGAAACGACGAAATCTTCTAGGTATGCCGCTGACGCTTCGAGACACTGCCGTTGAGTCATAGAGATGGAATTTTCGGGAGCGCCCAGAAACGACGAGGACAGAATTGGCTTGGTATAAATAGCCGACTCATCGGGGCGCAGTTTAGTTTAGTTGAGAGCATTGTAATGAAAAGTTAAAGTGTAATAAATAAATTAGAATTGTTAGTTAGTGTCTAAGTATTATATAAATTAAATAGTATGTCTGAAATAAATTGTAAATAGTGTATTTTAAATAAATAAACTATAAATAAATTAGACTATCGTTACGTTGGTGTCAGAAGTGGAACTGTAAATAAATAGTGGACAATAATGGCTATAAAAGACTGTGTGATTTAAAAGTGAACGAGCTACGTCGGGAGTTAGAAGATCGCGAGTTGGAAACGACAGCGAAGAAAGCAGAACTGGCAGAACGACTTAAAGAAGCGATAGAAAATGAAGGTTTGGATTCGGAAATGTGTCTATTTTCTGATGATTCATCTTCTGCTATAATTTCTTCCGATATGGAAAGTAAGATCTATTCCTTAAAAACCGAAATGTCTTCTGATATGAACTCCATGAAAACTGATATTTCCTCTAGCATGTCTTCTTTAAAAACCGAAATTTCATTCGATTTGGAAACTAAAATATCTTCCATAGAAAATAAAATTTCTTCTGATGTTTCTTCTATAAAAACTGATATTTCCTGCTTAGAAACTAAAGTTTCTTCCGATATATCCTCCTTGGATGATAAAGTTTCTTCTTTAGAAAGTAAAGTTTCGTCTGATATTTCTTCCTTAAAAGAAAAGGTGTCTGCTAAATGTCTTCTATAGAAATTAAAGTCTCCTCTGATATATCTTCTATAAGAAATAAAATTTCTTCTGTTGAGAAAATATTGGCTTCTGTCAAAGAAAAAATAAAAGAGATGGAAAAGAAGATAGAAGAACTGGAACATTCAGAACTGGTCAAGGACGGTGAAATAAAGTGCCATGAGGTGGAGTCGAAGTTAAAATTGGAAGGAGCTGTAAACTCTGATCAGCCCCAACCTTCGATGGAAAGATGTCATGAACTATTAACTACCTTAAACAGTTCGAGACAGCTGCGAGAGCAAATGAATGGTCTGAGAGAGAAAAGGCAGTGAATCTGACAATCGCCCTTCGAGGAGACGTTTTAGATGTCCTTCAAATTATACCCATGGAAGAGACAGATAATTTTGAGCAACTCAAAAAGAGACTGCGATATGGCCACGAACATTTTGAGCATCTATACCAGTCACAGTTAAAGAATCGCAAACAGAAACGAGACGAGACCCTTCAAGAATATGAAGTAGATATGGCCAGGTTGGTGCGATTTGCCTACCCATCAGCTCCGGAAAACATGATGGAATGTTTAGCAGTCCAAACATTTGTTGATAGACTCCGTGACCACGAGATGCAGAAAACACTTCGCTTAGCCCGCCACAAAACATTAGTCGATGTCTTGTCCGCTGCTTTAGAATATGAGGCAGCTACGCAGGCTTCTGGTGGATACAGTATAAAGTGAGGACTGTAAAAGAAGAAAACATTAAAGATAAACTCGACCAACTAGTTAACATAATGAAGGCCTTTACTGATAAGAAGATGAAGACAAAGACCGCATCAGGTGCTGGAATTGTGGTGAACTGGGACATGTACGTAGTTCGTGCAAACGCCCTAATTTCCCAACTGAAGACAACACGCCGCAGAAAAACTAGATCGGGTCGGCCTAAAGGGGGCAGTTTCGACCCTAAACCGTTCCAAAGATCCTTTCATACTGATAGTCTCTTTGAAATGTCGCGATGATAGTGTTATACGTAGACGGCGAAGTAAATGGTAAAAAGTATACACTGTTGGTGTATACTGGAGCAACTAGAAACATTATACGACCAACAACCATAAAGAACCTTTTAAGAGACTTCTACCAACAAGGTTGCGACTGCGGACTGCCACAGGTGAAAGTGCCAACATCCATGGGGAAATCCACCCAGACAGCACACCAAATCCTTTGGATATCTACTGAACATCCCAATATCCACTGAATGTCCAGTCCATGGTGGATATCTATTTTATATCCATGAAATGTAATTTATAGACATGCAAATGTCCATAAATAATTGTAATTATATAGCAAATTATTAAAAAATTACGCCATTGTACTCGCCATTGTGGCTAATAGTACCGTTGAGATATTTAAAATTAATTTTTTTTAAGGTGTATTCAATATCCCATGGACATCCACTATAAATATAAATATATCAAAGTCTAAGCGCGGACGCAAACCATCGTGGATATCTACTAGATGTAATTTTTGATTTTGCTTCCTAAGTATAGATGGCGATACCACTTTCGTATCTACTCATGCCTAACCCGCCGTAATTGAGTTTGATCGACATTGTTTCACAAACAGACTTCATTAGAGACTGAAGTCGAGAAGTTCCATTTATTGCTGAAGATTCCTAATAAGGATGATTTTCTCCTTAGTAGGCAAAATCAAAGGCAGATTGTTGGGAATATTTTTTACCTCTATTTTCTTTCGACGTTATTCAATAACCATTGGTTACTTATGAACCTCTACTAAAAATAATTATAAAATATTTATCTGAATTTCTATATCCTGGGATATAGACGGACATTTGGTTGGATATCCACAAAATATATTCTATGGATATATCTGGGATTTCTTGTATTGTCTGGAGATACTCATTAGATATTTTGCTGAATATCCATAGGATATCTTCTATATTCTGGATATAGACGGACATTTGGATATCTATATTAGTTCCACGGAATATTTCTGATATCCTCTGGATATATTGGATATACACAAAATATATTCTGTGGATATCTCTGGGATTTGGTGTGTTGTCTGGGCAGGTTCAGTTGGGAATTGGTACAGAAAAGTTCACTCATACTCTTATTGTCGCTGATATCAAAGAAGATGTTATTCTTGGAATGGATGTAATGAAAACTTACATGGTTTCCAGTTGAACTTTAAGAACAGAGTGATCAAAGTTGGTGCCGAAGAGGTATTCCTACATCCATATGGGGACAGTACCGTGCCAGTTGCTGTACAGGAGGATACAGTGGTACCTGGCAGAAATAAAACCGTTATAGTATCACGGCTTCAAGAAACTATGGAAGAAAGAACACCTGTCATGATGGAACCTTGGAACCACGATGAAGAGGTTTGACGATGTATTCTGATCATATTAGTATTAGTGTTTATTTTAGGTTGTCCGCGTTAAAAGACAAACAAGACAATAGTCAGTTGTGCATCTTGTGGATATAGCAACACAACTAAAAATAGAAAGAAAGAAACTACATTTCAAGAGAAAGTATTTTGTTCTAGCCATTTTCAGCCACGTTAAGTATTTATTTTTTTATTTTTTAATGCTTTAAATTTGTTACTAAACATGATAGTTTTACGTCGACGATCAACTCTGCACATAGGCGTAGTCTCATACGGTATACATACTTCTATTTAAACAATACTTGAGGGCTAATTTAAAAAAAAATACAAACTACTCGTCTTCGGAAGACAATATATATTCGTTAAAATAAAAGAAATCCCTAGATTTACATATGCCGCGTTTGAATATCCATATCCGACGCATTTTTTACATCTCGAGCGTTTGTTTATCCACATTGGACACATCTGTCCTACTACATTTACGTATATCGAATCACGTGATCAAAGATTTACATTTTAGATGCATCTGATGTGGATATTCAAACGCAGCAATAATAAGCAAATAAGAAATCGAATATTTTTTTCTACACCCTCTAATAAGAGTACGCCACTGGCAGACCGGAAACACTTGTCGCCATATTCATTCATAATCTATATCACTGTCAAAATTAGGAACAATCGCGATTCCAAGGTTGTTTAAATTGCTGAAAAAACAAATAGTAAAGGATAACTATTTGAAAGTTGACAAGTTAATAATTTCAATAAAAGAAGAGGAAGATAACCAAAAAAACAATGATAAAAAAAATTAAGAAATGAGCCAAATAACAACAATTCAGGTATTAAAACTTTACAAAGAACTATTACGTTATGGAAAGCAATTAAAATTGACTGATAAAAATTTCTTTCGTCGTCGCATAAAGCAAGAATTTAAAAACAATAAAGGACTTGAAATTGAAACGGAAATTGATCATATCTACAAGGTAAATATCTGTTGCATTCAGTTTTATCAGTAATTAAAATATTCATCATTAATATTTGGTTTTTAGAAGGGTGTAACATTGTTGTTAAACAGGTCTGTAAAATAATGGCCACATCTAGAATGTTATTTCGCATTCAATTCTGTTTTTCAAGACTGGTACACACATTAGACTACTCGAAAATACCTGTTCTCTTAGATAAAGATTTGGAAGAAATGCATGTTCAAGGTAGTGGTCCTGGGGGCTCAAAAATTAATAAAACAGCCAGTTGTGTCGTTTTGAAACATATTCCCTCAGGTAGGTATTATAACATATCCTCTCTACAATCCTTCCAATAATATTGTATTTCCAAACCAATGTTATTCCTATATCAAACAATGTGTTCACAAATTATTTCATAATTTTAGCAAAAAATAACAGAATATTAATATCCTAGAATCCTTATTCCTTCAAAAACTTTACCAATTAATAATATTCAATTTATAAGCCCCAAAAATGTCTACAGGAAATTTATTATGAAGACACAGGATGACCCAAAATCACATTATCTCTAATTAATTGAAAATCTGAAGAATATTCAAATAGTATTATTTTTTTTTCTATTGTTAATATGTATTTTTTTGTTTATGTAAATATTATTGAATATCAATTTTTGAACATGTCAGTGGGCTGAAGTACTTTAGTTGATGGCTTGTTGGGTATAGTAACTCAGTAAAGTATATTTATTATTAGTTATTGAGTGGCTGGGTGCCAGAGTTGCCTAACCAACAAAATATCAAAAAAACCTTTTTTTCATGTTTTAAAATAATTTCTGTGCATACCAAAGTTGCCTACTACTTAAAATTATTAGTTTTTGGTGCCACAATCTATACCTAAAGATTAGGCAATTTTGTCTAGTAGATATGGGTAAAGTGCTTTGATGTCCATTTACTCACTTTTAATAATTTCAAAACAACCACTTTTTATATTATTAAAAAATAATTTCTGTCCATGCCAAAGTTACCTATTTGTTAAAGTTATTCATTTTTGATGCCAATCTCTATACCTAAAGATTAGGCAGCTACATGGTAGTAAAGTGCTTTGATCACCATTTACTGGCATTTAATAAATTGGTGATTAGGCAACTCCGGCACTGAACCATAATATAAATAAAAGGTATAAGTATTAAATGTATTTTTCTTCTTTTAGGTATCGTAGTTAAATGTCAAGAAACAAGATTTTTGGAAAAGAATCGAAAAATAGCAAGAGAAATTCTACAAAAAAAATTAGATAATTTTGTTAATAAAGAAGAGAGTTTAGAGGCCCAACTTGAAGCAAAAAATGAAAAAAAAAAGTGTATCTAGAGAACAAAAAAGACAAAAAGTTCAAGTGTTGAAAGAAGCATGGAAGAAACGTGAATTTGATAGTAATCAGTTGTAAAAAAAATTGTTAATAAATTTAATAATCATTGTTAAATTGTTTTTTTTTATATTATTAATTACTAAAGATATAACATACAAAACTTGTATTGTAAAAATATTTAGTCTACTTTGTCATTAAGAATGGAAAATTCTAATTTTAGCAATTATTTCTTTATAATTTTGCCCTGCTATACTTTTATAACAAATTATCTTGTAGGGCTAAAGATCAATCGACATGAAAATATGTAGACATTTTTATTTATTCTTTTATAATAATTTAAATAACACTTTATTTACAAAAAAAAAAACTATCACAATTATTTAAAAATAAACTTCATTTTCTTGGGTTTTCTGGAGATAAAAATTACACTCTAATCCATTATTTTACATCATTGCAATAGTCATCCAGAGAAGTTGTATTTTGGATCGGCATTGAAGGACCCCTAAAAATAAAATATAAACATAAAATAAATAGAAAAATTTGGAAGAGTAGTGAACATTAATTGGTTGTTTATGATAGTAATAACGAATTTTGTTTTTTTTTTTTTTTTCATCAATATTGCTGATGTTTGTCAAAATCCTGGATCGACTCTATTTACTTTAAAAACTGGTGAGAAAGAAACAAGAGCACTGAAAATAAATCTTTTTAATGAAGGGAAAATGAGAAAAATTCAAAGAAACTTCGAGCGACCGATTCCTTCCTGAAAACAACTACTCCATTGGCTAATACTAAAACAGGTATTTTCTCAATTTTTAAATGAACCTAGAGAATTGAGCTTCATTACATTTGATAACTGCCAGTCTGGTTATTATTCCGCCTTATTCTATAAACTGGGTGCCACAGTGAGATTTGATTTTGCTTACTAAGTGTAGATGGTGATACTGTGCGACTCTAAAATTCGCTAAACCAATATCTAGGCATATGAGTGAATATCACACTTATAAAACTTCCATTAAATTAGATATTTGAAGAATGTGTTTCCTGCTGATGAGTCTTATAAGGTTGAAACTACTCTAAGAATAACGTTCTCCTTATTAAGCAAAATTAAAGCTAGATTATTAAAAATAATTTTCTCTGCTTTTTTTTCTTTGGATATAATTCAATCTTGTTATAGGTTGTGGAATTATCCAAAGTAGTTTTCTAGATGAAAACGGTTGCTTGACGTTTTTCTCATTCTCTCTGGATTGATGTATTTTTAACATTATATGTTATACTTACCTCCAAGTAAGTGGAGTTGCTCTTTGATTTATTAGAAGTACTAAGCGCATTAGGAATTTGACCCTAAAATAAAAAGTTATAATCTCATATAGAGTGAAATTCAAAATCGGTAAGAAACAATAGTTTATTGTCATTCGGATATTGCAAACTATAAATCAGAAACAAGTTGTTAAAATACCATGAACGAACTTTATTCTACGGTGTATTAAAGTAATTTTTCCAATCATCATAATCCGATCCTCAATTGCCCTGGTATTATTTAAAAAAAAGAAACAAGTATATATATAATTTTGTCCATCTGGCTTGTATTGTTCTAAACACTGTGAGAATGAAACATGCCATTCCAAGGACCTGTCAAAATGTTGCTTGTGGGCATTGATATGACAAGACTATGGGCCTATTGGCTTTGACAGGGTGTGCTGTTGACTTCATATATAGTATATATATACCAGAAACAACTAACTGAATTCTATGTATCCTGTCTCTCTAGGGATGTCTTTTCAAAATCCCAACCACCGAACTGGTAAGGGGCCGCAACACGTTCTCAGGCAGAATTTAAAATCCACGGTGATTTGATGTATAATTTAGATCGAATATTTTTTTTTGTTAGTAGTTGGTTGATTACAGCTTCCGGCTTTCTCGAAGTTCGGCAGCAGAAGGGAAAAGTCTCTCGACGTCCCATTGGCTCACCGGCCTTTTTCAAAATTTCCCACCAGCGAGCCGTCTTCTGACTGTTGAATGTGCCGGCACAGTCAAGGTCACAAATTTAAAATACATACATTGATGCAGAATTTGATCGACTATTTCGTATTGGTAAAATTAAATATTTAACCTTTTAACGGTTGCTGGTACATACAGTATGGTTCAAATGAAAGGAATAAATTCATTAAAATGGAAGTAGCTGGTTTTTAGAAAAAATGCTCGGACAGGTCAATTTTGTTTACTTAAAGCGCAATTTTTTAAATAGAATTCAATTTTCCCCCACTTTCCATTTTTGGGCAGTGACGTCATTGGCAATTTTTTTAAATGGTAACCCCAATTTTGTTTTCTTGATTTTGATAGATCTTGCAATTTCCTACTCAGAAACATAATATTTTTAATATCTGACATAACAATTTTTTTTGAATAAAAGTCATTTAAAGATCAGATACATAAATTTTATTTTATTTTGAAACACAATAAATGAATAAAAGATTATTTGTTATTAAGTGCTTCATCTAAAAAAAAAATAATAATAAGAAGTTAATGACAATTTCACAAATTCTTTTTTATTATTATTATTATTATTATTAATAGTATTATTATTATTTTGTTAGATTAGGCACTTAATTACAAATAATTATCTTTTATTCATTTATTGTGTTCTCAAAATAAAATAAAATTTATGTCTTTAAATGACTTTTATTCAAAAAAAATTGTTATGTAAGATATTTCAAATATTATGTTTCCGAGTAGGAAATTGCAAGATCTAACAAAATCAAGAAAAACAAATTGGGGTTACTATTTAAAAAAATTGTCAATGACGTCACTGCCCAAAAATGGGAAGTGGGGGAAAATTGAATTTTATTTAAAAAATTGCGCTTTGAGTAAACAAAATTGACCTGTCCGAGCATTTTTTCGAAAAACCAACTACTTCCATTATAATGAATTTATTCCTTTCATTTGAACCATGCTGTATATCTACCATGTGTAAATTATGGATTAAATGCCCTTTGTATATGACTGAAATATAGACACTAATATCCATTTCGAACAAAATTTCGTTCTAAGGTACAAATATTTACTATGATAACTGTGGTACATATTTGTCCAGAAAGTGAATAAAGCTTTTGAGTTTCGAGTAATGCCGCTGTCTCGACACAAAGAATGCTGCATTTTTAATAAAGTGAACAGATATAGACAAAAAGGTACCTTAGGTTTTTTTTGTTACTTCTTATGATACACTAGCAAGATCAAAACAAATGTTTCTATAATAAACGATTTTAATATTTTAGATTTTTTCTAAATGGTACATATGCGTACCAAAAAAATGTTGATGGTACACATGTATACCATTAAAATGTTTGTGGCAAAAATGTATGATTTTGAAATGTTGATTCTCCATATTAAGCCTTAAACATTACCAATTCAAAGAAAGATGATTAAAAAGTCTATAGATTTTTGCTAGTTAAAGGGTTAGAAACAGGTTCATTAAATACATATTACCTCTATTTTTGACACTGTCATTTCCCATTGAAACACAAATTACATTATAACTTATTCTACATAATGGGTCACCGGTAACTCCCTCGGTCTGTAGAGTTAAAACTATTAAATTTTTCAAATGTGTTTTCACAGTGAGATGTATATCAGAAAAGGCAACAATTATAAATAATTTCAATTATATAGGGTTCTCCAAAAAAGTGATACATATCAAAGTTAGGTTTTTCTAATGGGACCCATGTATTTTATTTTATATTTGAATTGACCTCGTTTTTTCCATTATAACAATACCAAGTACCAAGGTATTTCACACGCTCTAACCAGTTTTGTATACCGCAAAAGAAACAATTATTAAAAAAACAATTTTTTTGTGGTAAAAGGTTTTCGATATAAAGGTCTATGCCCACTATACCGTACCATACTATGACCGTGCCCGGACCTGATTTTTTTTTTTGTATAGATTCAAATGAGGATGGTGTTGGTCGATGCCGGGCCGGTCTAGTGGGCATTGTCTCATTTAAATCTATACAAAGAATATTTTTCTGCCTATACCGGTACGGTCACGGTCATAGTATGATCCGGTGTAGTGGGCATTGGCCTTTAGTCATAATTTTATGCGGGTACACTACTTTTTATACATCATTTTCTCACTTTTTTTAATTTATCATCCTGTATTTTATATCACCATTTAAAAGTACCTTAATTAAAGTTTCATTTAAATTAAGGATTTCCTATACCTTTTTGAGAATTTCTAATAGAACTTTAACATTCAGTAAATACCAATAGCAACCATAGACTCATTCCATTATAATACCTATTTTAAGTTTACTAGTGTACTTTGAAATCCCAATGCTGATAGTTCGTTAGTACTAACGTCATTAGCGTTGCGATATTTATTTAAAAAAAAAGATCATCCAGCTATTTATGACCTTTAGTCATGAATAAGAAGTATTTCGAGGTTTACTTAGAAAATGCTTAGAAATGTGAGTTCAACCTTTAAAAACACGTTTACCCGATAAATATTATTGAAGGTTACTTAGAAAAACTTTTAAAATTTAATAAAAATCAAAATAACACATTTAACTTAAAATAAAGTAGGTATTATGTGAAGTTTTCGGTTGCTATTTCTAAAAAAGGAATTACTGAAAGAAAAAATCACATTAGGTATTATGAAAAACTTATTCAGTCGACAATGAAGCATAGCTGGTTAAATTCCAATTACCGATTAACAAACAGTCTATTTCCTATTAACCAGTTATCAGTTAAAATTAAAGTATTTTGTGAATTATCTTTTTCTCATTTAAATTTAAAAATCTTCCAAAATTATTAACTATGGAAGGCTTAACTCAAATAAAACTTTAATTAAAATACTTTTAAATGGTGACATAAAATATAGGGTGGGCAATTTAAAATACCCAACTTTGATATGTATCTCTGATATTATTAAAAATAGTAATTCTGTAAATAGCTTTAAAACCAGTCTCATTCATGAACAGCATATGTAACGTTTATATGTTTTAATTTTATGTATTATATATGTTAAAGGTAATTATCTTTATTACTTTCTATTGTAAATTTTATTACTTATTACTTTTTGTATTGTATTTTTAAATTAATATTTGTATATTAGGGTTTCCTATTTAAAACAAATAAATATCTATATTTCTTGGAAAACCCTGTATAATTGACATTATTTTTCGAATGGATTTCATATTGTGAAAATAGATTTAAAAAAAAAAATCAAATAGATTTGGCTATACAGACTGAGGTGTTACCAGTGGCCCATCCTGTATAATGTACAAAGCATTTTCTCACCAAACTTCAACTTCATTTTAATTAACGTTTCTTCAAGCCTTACCTTATTAATTTCCGGAAAAATGGTACTAAGGTTGAAGTTGGTCAAAGATGTTCCTGCATTGTTCAAAGACGGAGAAACTTGAGGGTGCTGTATATTATTTCTTGAAATTCCAGGTAACGGAGGTAATAAAGGACCAGCGTTAAATTCATTCCCCTGCTTTTGATACAATGAATTTTTACAAGGATATGGAGCGGTAGGAGGAAGGAACGTTGCGTGGGACTGGTAATCGTCCGGAAGAATTGGCGAATTTGTGGAACCTTGTATCGGTAATAAGGGATATTCGAAATTTCCTAAAGTATTATTGGTTTGATTTCCTTTTTTACTTTTCTTAATATTACTAGGGTAAATAACATTTTTGTCCTCTTTGTTAGTTATTCGGTAATTCTTATTACCGCAATTTTTATAATTCATCACGTTATCTGTTGAATAATCATGAGTACTGTCAAAATTACTACTTAGATAACTAGAAGTGATAGATGGAGTTGTATATATAAAATTATTTCCCGTATAACTGTTATTTTGAAACGAGTTGTGTGTGTAAGTATTGTGGAAATTCTGATTTTGATTCATATATCCATCATCGACTGTTGTAAAATATGGAACAATGTTTTCGGTCAAGAAATTCGATGAACAAATCGGTTTTGCAGCATTGTCTGTACATTTCTTATTCTCTTGAATATTTTGGTTTCCAATTAATGCTTCGGCAGAATAACTACTCAGTACGTTTTTATTCGCACTTCTATTTTTCTGTTCGTAAAATATGTCAAAATTATTATTAATGGGTTTAACAGTACCCTTATCGATATTTTTATCAAATCTTTTATTCTTTGTCGGCGTTATGCTCTTTGATTTACTGCCACTTAATCTTCTAGTCGTTGTTCTTGCTGGAGAATTATCAGTTTTATTTTGATTAACCAGCTGACTGACTGATAAAAAGTTGACTTGATTGTCATACGTCGTTTTTCTTTTTGGTTCCTTTAAATATTTATAATCATTTTTGGCATCTACAGTCAATGAATTTCCCAATGCTAGATCTCCGACTAAAGTAGGTAATGTCGGAGTAATAAAATTATGCTGCGGTTCCAGAAAGTTTGGTAATTTTGTAGGAGACCAAGAAAACCGTTCTGTTTTCTTTATGTCTGAAGGATTAACATCATTAGTATCTGAGCTAATACATGATGTAAAAGAGTAAGACTGATTAGTAAACGAAGGTAAAAAGCAATCAGATGTTTGAGATTTTTGCTCTGTCATCCAATTTACAGTTTTATTCTGTATAACCGGTTTTTCTTTTGGCATATTATTTTTCCCATCTCTCGGAATATTATTAAAAGTCGTATCAGTTTTTCGATATTCCTGATAGTTTTCATAATTTAGAGAATAACACGATTTCGTATCGGGTTTGTAGTAATTCTGATTGATGTTCGTGTCTGAATAATTATAGCTATAATTGCAATTTGTATAAAACGGATTTGAATAATTTCTCTGATTGTCGTATGTGCATGGCGGGCATGGTTTGGAGAAATCAGATTTATAACCAGGCGTACTTGAATAATTTGACGAAAAATAACATGGGGTTGTATCCATTGATTTAGGACAAACCTCATTTATTTTCTTTGGAACATCACAAACCTTATCTTTATTAACAATATTATTTGCAGGTTTACTGCAATTATTATCTACTATATTTAATGATGTTTCTTTTGATGTCTTTACTGGCTCAAATGGATTATAATGAAATGTGTTGTCGTTTGGTTTATTGTTAGATTTATTATTGCAATTTTCTATATTTTGATTTGTTATATCTTTAACAGAATTTAAAGAAAATGTAGTTAATTGTTTTTGAGGATTTGTAATGATCTTATTATTTGAATTGAATTCATTATTTATATCTTTATTATTACTAGAAGACTTAAAAATATATTCCATCTGGTTTGCAGTATTTTCTTCATTATCCAATTGTTTATTCATTTGAATTTGAACATCTTTCTCACTGTAATTATTTTTATAAACGTTATTGTCAGATAAATTGTATTTACTCGATATTAAAGGTAAATTAAAGTTGGTATTGATGTTACTTGTCAAAACATTGTCAGTTTCAGTATATGATGCACTATTAGAAACTTTTTTTTCTTGCACAATTTGAACCAATTGATTTTCAGACTTGTGTTGAAAATTTTTGAATTTTGTATCAGCCATGTTTTGTTGTTTTTCTTCATATAAAACATATTGTTGATTACTAAGCACGCTATTTATATGATTGCTGTGATTTTGAGTCTCATTTAATTTTTGAGATTTGTTTGCATTAGTTTTGGATCCCAAAATATGAGAATCGGATTTAGAAAATAATTCGTATGAAACTTTAAAGTTGGTGTTAGGAGGAATGACATCTTTGGTTAAAGTATTTTTATTTTTTTCTTCATATAAAGCATATTGTTGATTATTAAGCACGCTATTTATATGATTGTGTGCCTCGTTTAATTTTTGAGGTTTGTTTGGATTACTTTTGGATTCCAAAATGTGAGAATTATCTTTAGAAAATATTTCATATGAAACTTTAAAGTCGTTATTCGGAGGAACGTCTTTGGTTGGTGTGTGTTTTCTTTTATCTTCGTATAAAACATATTGTTGATTATTAACCACGCTATTTATATGATTTTGAGCCTCGTTTAATTTTTGAGGTTTGTTTGCATTATTTTTGGATTCCAAAATGTGAGAGTTATCTTTAGAAAATATTTCATATGAAACTTTAAAGTCGGTATTGGGAGGAACCTCTTTGGTTGACGTATTATTACCCACATAAATATCAAAACTTTGGTTGTCTAATTTAGAATTTTGTGTATGATTTTGAGCCTCGTTTAATTTTTGAGAAGGCTTGTTTGCATTATTTTTGGATTCCAAAATGTGAGAATTATCTTTAGAAAATATTTCATATGAAACTTTAAAGTCGGTATTGGGAGGAACCTCTTTGGTTGACGTGTTATTATCCACATAAATATCAAAACTTTGGTTTTCTAATTTAGAATTTTGCGCCGAGGTCATCCCTGCATTTTTGTTATTACTATTTGTATCCAATTTGGAATTATAATAACTCCCGCAGATATCTTTAGAATTGAAAAAAGGAAAGTTATCCAAATTCAGTAAATTATCAGTATGACTCTGCTTGGAAGTATCCATATTACCAATTTGTAATAAAGTAGGAGTTTCCCTTTGACTATCTGAATTTTCTTCATCAATTACTTCTGTTACCTTAATCGAAGACACTAAAGGAAAGGCTAAAAGGAATGCAGCTGTAGGAGAAGTTGACTCTGCATTTTGGCAACCGGGAGGCACTTGCAACGATGCAAAAATATCATTTGACAAATCTGAATGAACTAGATTCAGATCGATATTTTTCATAGCATCTTCATGGACTGAAACACTTAAAGTAGATGTAACACTTGAAGTGCTAGATACAGCTGAGGAGGTCTCAGTTTTAGACGTTTTATTAGACACCTCAGCTTCCTTAGATGGATTACAAGATGTTGTAATTGTAGAAGCAGATTCAATGGATTTTTCTAACGTTTGATTATTATTAGGCACAGAAATATTAATGGACTCTGTTTTCTCTAAAATTTGATTGGCCTCTGTTCCTTTTTCATGGTTTTTGTCTGTAATTTCTCTTTGTGTACTAGATTCGGTATTTTTAAAATCATTGACAGTATTTTCATTAGATATATTGGAACAAGATGTAATAACTGTAGAATCAGTAGTTTTTATTTCTATAGGTAATATTTTCTCTTTCTCAGATGTATTTTCTTTATTTATCGCAGCTTCAGATATTAATGTTTCAGTATTTTCATGAGATTTATTAATTTCATTATTAATTTTTACTTCAGTCTTGCTTTTCTTAGGCTCCATTTTACATTCGTCATTGGCTTTGCGTTTTGTACTCTTTACCATATCCTCCTTAACAACTATTACTTGTTTTTTATTAGTTTTTTTGGCAGACTTAACAGAATGATTTAAAAGCAAAGATGTATTTGCATACCTAGAAGTAAGGGCTGGAATAGGAACTTTATTGATTTGTGTAGTTTTGGTTATACACGAATTTGATTGAATGAAGGTCTTTTTATTTGATTTTGAATTATTAATTACCTTTGAAAATACAACGGTTTGGGAAGGCATAGTCAAAGGCGGAATCATTAATTGGGGTTGAGGTAGGAGAGATATTATGTTACCGTTTCCTAGAATTAAAGTACCAGGGCCCAAACTTGAAGATCTCAGGTTCAAGTTTATTGGATTCAATGCTTTTGGTTTTGTTGATTTTACTGGCTTTGAAGTTTGAACTAAAATACATGTTTAAAATTCCAAAATAAATCTATTTAGCTATGCTAATAAATTTAAGTATAAGTTTCATGTTGAAATAATTGGAGAGATTTCGAATGAAATCGAATTGAATTAAATCAAATTCAATCGAATTAAATCAAATTGAATCAAATTAAATCGGATTAAATCAAATTGTTGGCTGCCTGATTATACACTATACAAAGACACTAAGTACATAATGTAAAATCCTATCGGACTAGTCAAAAAAGTGTTAAGTAAAATACATTAAAAAATAAAATATATATAATAGACAATTCATGTTGAGATTAGTTTAAAAGTTCAAAAAATCTTCTATACTATAAAATACATTATTTACAAGAAAATCATTAAGATGTTTTCTTAAATCATTACGACTAATTTGATGATAACCTGTAGTATCTTCTAATATGTTACTGAACTTATTGTAACACTTAATCCCAATATATTTTGGTGAATGCTGGCTTATTTGTAGTCGTGAAAAAGGTTGATGGATGTTAAATTTTAATCTAGTATCATATGAGTGCAGGTCTTTATTTTTCTTAAATATATGCTCATTATCTTTTATGTATAAAATTAGTTGAAAAATAAAAAGGGAAGGTAGTGTTAAAATTTGCCTTTTCTTGAAAAGTTCTTTACATGATGTTGTTGGTGTCACCTTATACATGGCTCTCAGAAGCTCTTTCAAAGTATGGTGAAGAACCCCAAAATATTAACCCATATTGTAGAGTTGAATGAACCAAACCAAAATAGCATAGTTTTAAAGTATCAAAAGATAGTGTCTCCCTTAAATTTTTGATGATATAACAACAAGTAGGTACTTAATTTTGAAGTTACCATTTTTATATGAGCTTCCCAATTTAATTTGGGATCTAATATTATTCCTAAAAATTTTATGTCATCAACGCTTTAAATACTTTTTCCGTCAACGTGCAAGTAGGGTTCATAATCTGGTAATATGTTTTTGGATAGAAATTGCATGAAGTTTGTTTTTGTTACATTTAATGCCAGACTGGTATCTTTACAATACTGGTTAAACTCACGAGATGCCTCGTTGCTACTTTGAGTGACCTGTTCAATTTGGTCATCTGCCATTACAATATTACAACTAATAACTCGGAGTTGAAGATCTAGATTTGTACATAACTTATGAAAAATATTTTTGTCATTCTAGGGGTCCATAATATGTTTAAATGTACAAGGTAGCCTATTACTGCATGGAAGAAAAATGTAAAAAAGTAAATCAATTAACTGTAATATAAAACATATTCTCATAAGAGAGACATTGGGCTTTCTTGCACTAAAGGGCCACCCTGTATACTTTAATAACACCCTGTATACCTCATTAATATTTAAAAAGTTTAAACCATATACCTGTTAAAAGAGATGGGCCTCTTGAAAGGTTATGAACAGGTGTGTTAGGTACAAAAACTAATTGTTGATTAATGGCAGGCACTGTTGGTATTTGCGACAACAAAAGTAAATTGTTTGTCAATGATACCTTTTTGTTAAGTTTCTTTAATTTTTGGATCTTGCTTGGCGCCTTACCGATTTTGGAACTTTTTACTTGATTTGTACTAACAAGTTTGGTCCTTTTTGGTTTCATCCTTGAATTATCTGCTGATACATTCTCTTCTACACAAAAAGTAATTAAATATTAAATAACATTTAATAATTATTGGTATTTGGGTACAAAAAATCTGAATTTTATTGAATGATTGTGTACTTACTTTCCGTTTCCTTTTTTTGTAAATCTTTTGATTGTTGTGGGAATCTATTACTCCAAATTCCTTTTTTTCTAAATCTTTTAACTGTACCAACCACTGTGGGTGGTTTAATGCCGGCATTTTTAAATAAACTGGTAAGTTGTTCATTTCTAATAAGTAGTTTTTTTATTCGTTCTTGTAACTTTTTTACTTGTTTATCTAAAAGCACACATATATTTTCTCAGTGAATAATTGGTAGAAAATATAAAAGAATCGAAAATGCCAGAATATGCAAAAAGAATCTTGGTCTATAGTTAATGGGTTATGAGGGAGAAATAGTATACCTGCTAATATTTTCATAACTGTTATGAAGTATATAAAATGTAGGCATACCACTATTGCAGGTCATAATAAAGTTGGGCTAACTATGAGGCATGTACCTAACTGGAACAGTAGAGGAAAATCCAAGCTGGCAAAGAAATGGAGATAGGCCATTGCTATTATAGGCAAATGTTCTTGTACGTCTTAATTGGGCATTTAAAATTGAATAGTCTGTGCAAAATATAAACTACTGGTTTTAAGAAGGACAATTTTTAAGCAAGATGTAAATACTGACCTTTAAAAGTTTTATTTTCTTCATTAGATGATGTAAGTAAATGTATTTCTTCTTTTAATTCAGTAATAGTTTGTTGAGCTTGTTTTAATATATCATTTTTACTTTTATTTATCGATGGGTCATAAGAAGGTAACACTTTAGCTAATTCTTCAAAAGACTTATTGAGACGTTCCCTTCTCTCTTTTTCCCAACTTTTGCACTTGCTAAAAAAGATTAGTGGTAGTGGAGAAAAATAATTTAGAAATATTTATTACCTCGACTCTCTTGGCATAACGAATAAAATTACTCATAACGATATTACAGTTTTTATTTCGCTAAAATAAATGTCCAAAATATTAAAAATTGATCACCTCTGTTTTTGTTTTGACACTGACGGTTTGACACTGACACTACTGACAGTAACATTGACGTGACCGACGTTTGACGCTCGTTTTTTGTTAGTAGTACCAACCATGATAGAGTACCACACACGACGAACTGAGTAATGAAATTTCCCCAATAGAAGTATAAAATTATGATACAAATGACAAAATCGGCATGTTTTTATACAGTTTGGAAAGATTAAGGGCCGATTCCACCGTTGTGTTAAACGGAGATTAAAATGACTTCGTTTAACACAACCTTAGATAATATAATAGCAGATAGGCCACCACTGCATAAAGTTATACAATATTAATCTCGCTATCATATAATCAGTATCTCTCTTTCTAATGAAGGCTTTCTCACTCGTTTTAGAATTCTCAGCAGTAGCGTACCGTAAAACAATTTCGCTGGGTCATTTTAAACGCGAAAATGTTGACCAAATAGAATATAAAATAAAATGTTTTAAAAGGTAGGTAGGTCCATTTTTAATGAAGTGAAAACAAAATATGACTTTTTTGTTATGAATATAATATTAATAACAATTACTTTTAACACCACAACACGAACAAATTTAAATTAAACACTGGAATAATTGTCTGAGAAAAGCTTTGTAAAACTGACAAATACAAACAAAGAGATAGAGATATTAATCTATTTCTCTCTAATTAGAATTCTCGACCATATTATCATGGCGACACAAACATTGTTTACTGTCCTCTCTTTACTACTTACTTACTCTGAGAACACAACGGTGGAATTGGTCCTTACATCCTACAGAAACCAAGAACTCCAATTAAATGTTCCACAGTTACAAAAATAGTAAATAAATTAAATAAACACTTACATTTTAATAATTTAAAATTAAATTTTCCAAACCAAACACACTTTTTCACCTTCCTCTCTCCATCGATCTTTCTCTCTTGATCCCACCCGAACTCTTTCGCTTCACGCCCGCCCGGTGTTCTTCGTCACGTTCATCGTTATTAAGCGATAATGATTGGCTGCTTTAAAAATAGTCCATTTACACAAACCAAAAAGACGCTTTTTTATTTTCATTCAAGGGGCGCATTTTTTTATTAAATACGATTCTTTTCAACAACATTTTAAATATTTGAAAACACATTTAGGATCTGTTATCTGTCACTTCTAATATACTCGGATACCAATTTTTGTCGAAATCTGCAGAACTATTCTTTTTTGTTTAATTTAATTTAGTAACAATTCTGATAAACTAATTAATTGTCAGTATGTTTTTATGGTAATCCAGCATATCGATTATATTTATAAAAAAAAACCGTAAATTTTGGTATAAAATTACCTGTCTACTTAACTAATTAATTTATAAATGTTATACAGTGTGTCCCATTAGTGCGTAATTGCTCAATATTTCAATTTGTGTAATAGATATGCAAAAAATTTTCAATTAAAAGTTAGTTGGATTTGAAGAACATATGTTTTAAAAATATGTTTGAATGTACAGGATGTTACGTTTTTGCCTGGCAAATAAAAATTTACATTTTTTTAAATAGAACACCCTGTATTTTCAGTTTTAGAATTATCTGATAATAGTGTATTCAACCTTAGAAATGTTACAGATTTGCCAAGCAATTATTTTTTTTGTGAAATTAGGGAATGTGCAGTCCTCAAATTAAATTATCATATGTTAAAAATAATTTCAAAATTGTTTAAAATACAGACAATAAGATACCAAGCTAACGAATAGTGGTGATAGAAATGGTTTACTTTATACAGAGTGTCTTAAATATGGCTAATTTTAAGTTCAATTTAATATTTTTTTCAAATACAACACCTTGTAGGTATATTATTTTAGCATAAAATTCTTTATACATTTACATATCCAACGATAGCAACTGGTAAACCAATTATACATATGGTGACCCATAAGTTCGTAAATTGATCAATAGCCGTTTTATTATTGGAAATGCGAAGAAATTTTTAATAAAAAAATTGTATGACTATATTTAACAATTATTCTTAAATATACAGGGTAGTTCAGAAGTGAGGTGTGAACCAAACTTATACTTTTTTTACTAGAGCGGTTCCAAGATAAGGAAGGTACACAGCTCGGCGGCGGCAAAAGTTGCGCAGTGGCAAGTCGCCTAGCAACGGCCACCGGCGAAGCGAAACGTAGGCATTCAGAGGCGCAGCTTGTCTAGAGTTTTAACGAAGTGAACAGAGTACGAAAAATGACAATTTTATATAATTATTGCGTGCTTTGTGATTTCTATTTACATATTGTTTTTGTTGTTGTAATGTTGTAATGGCTCCCAAGAGAATCGGATTAAAAGGGAGGCATCTCAATACTGGGTCATCGGATGAAAGTTGGTCAGAAGATGAAGACAGTGATAATTAGGGAGTACCAACAGATGTCTGATGATTTAGAATTCGAAGACAATTAGATTTTTATCTTTAATTTAATTTATAAGTATTTTTAATACCTTCTCATTTTATTATAGTAACACATATAAAAAGGTAAATTATTTAGAACAAAATTCACATCGTAGTAGGTATAGTAATTTACCAAAATACATATTTTAAAATAAAAGCTGAAATATAAATTACTAACTAGAAATGCGTCCGCCTCTGACTGTACCATTCTCATATCTTAGGACCGCTCTAGCATATTAATAAATATTTTGGAAATTTTTAATGTTGTAGTTTCGTCCGTTTGCCTAGGTCATATGTGCTGTTGCTAAATGAATCATTTACAATTAAATTTAAGTAAACAACTTATTTTTGTCAATAATTAACTGTTTTTGTTAAAACCCTAAAGTTAGTATAACTAAAGAAGTGCAGGGTGTTTCATTATATAATGGGCCATAGAGGAACCACGGATTGTTTGGATAAAAAGTAAATATAAATCAGAAGACTCACCATTTTAAGCCGCTCATTCTTCCTAAAAGAAACCATAAGAAATCTCAATAGTAATAAAAATAAATCACAGATTCAGATATGTTGTAATAATTTACTCACAGAAGAAGGTAAATTTAAATCGAAAGACTCACCATGTGAAGCCGATCATTCTCCTCTTCCGGCCCATTTATTATTCCATCAGTATTTTTTTCTGCATCTCCATAATATCCATTACTTCCAGGTGATTTCCCCGATTTAAACGCGTCCGGACAAATCTTCTATTTCCGACGAAACTAGAGTGATCTTCGTATCATGTTCAATTCTATATCAACCTTTCGATACAACTAAATGTACCTCCGGCCAGTATCTGCAGCCTTTTGTCTATTTGATCCTGGAATGTACATCCCAAGGCAGTATAATGTAAATTAAAAATTTACATTAAACATCAAAGGACATACGTTCTAAGATCAATCGTCTTTATTGTTAGAGGTGAAATGAACATGAGCTCAGACCATTGATATCGAGTTACCGAATAACTCGAAAAATTTGCGACGATTTAAATTTTCTTTACGGATATTCGCTGAAAAAAAAAAACAATAGGAAATTTAAAAACTTTAAAAGGGCAGGATATTTATTGAAGTACCTAACTTAAAAAGACCTTTTCTGCAATTGCTTTTTTCATTCAATGATTTCCAAAACATATGCTAGCTACTATTATTTATATATTATTTTTCAATTTTTTTATGCCGATATCATCAGCATCAACTAGTTAAGTTATAAGTCTCGTGTTCTGTATAAGATTTGGTACTGTTTCCCGGCTCCACTTAGTAATAACACTGTTTATTTGAACATTTTTTAGAGTTGATTTCTTAAGGATTAAAACTTTAAAACGTTGTTTGTATTATCATATCTTTCGGTCCCAAATTGAACGGCATTCTTAAATGGTTTTTATTTGTTTATATTAATATAGAATTTTTGTTTAAATCTTTTTTTGAGTGTCAATTTCAAAACTTTGAAGATTTAATTTTGTTTTAAAAAACAAAAATTTTAGGATGTTTAATGTAGCCATCTCGTATAATATGAGGAAGTTGAATGTTTATTAGACAAAAACGATATTTTTTGAATACATTACACCAGATAACCTTACCAATAAGGCATTAGAATTATTTTTAATTAATATTATTTAGAAAATTGCCCTTTCCTGGTGGGATTCAAACCCGGAACCATGGATTCAAAAGCCCTGTATCTAACATCAGTTAAAATAATATCACTTTGGCCCATTTCAAAAATTTTGATAGCTATGATGATTGCGGATTCGGTTCTAACACACAAAACTCTTTCGGCAGAATGGAGAGAGCAGTTTAGTAACTTTAATACCTTTTAAATCAGATTATATCTAAATCTCAACACGGATTCCGTTCCTAAATACTCTACAAATACAGCCGTTGTCTCCTTTTACAAAAAAGTGCTTCACACTTTTGAGCTCGGTGAAGGTTCGGCTGGGATCTTCTGTGATCTTAGCAGAGCCTTTGTTCAGCATGATGTACTATTAAACAAACTTCACTCATCTGGAATTAAAGGCACTCAAAATAAATGGTTTAAAACATACCTTACAAATAGACCCCAAATGGTTAAAACAGTCATTTTCTCAAGAAGTAACAAATAATATTGGAGTGCCCCAAAGGTCAGTGTTAGCTCCCATACTTTTCACAATTTATGTAAATGAACTTTCAGAATTACTTTACCATGCATTCACAATTCTCTATGCAGACGACTCGACTTTCTTGTTTACTGATTCCGTTAAAGAACAATTAAAAAATAAAATAGATATGTCAATTAAAATATTTTCGGAATGGGCTAGTAATCTCTTATTATTATTTAATATTACAAAAACTAATTACATTTATTTCCATGCATACCAAAATTCAAAAATACCTTGTCTAGATATCTGTAAGCAACACACATATAAATACAGTTGACTCCACAAAATTTCTAGAAATAACATTTGATGAAAATTATTTGTTATTTAAAACTTCGTAACCTTAAATGTATTTTAAAACCTCACCATCTTCGTCAAATTTACTTTGCAAATGTACATTCGAGGTTGGTTCATGGTAAATCATGGTAATTGTGTCTGGGGCGGAT